CGTAACGTAACGTAGTAACGTAGTAAGAACGTAACGTAGAGTAGTAGACGTAGTACGACGTAGAGAGTAGAGAGAGAGAGAGAGAGAGAGAGAGAGAGAGAGAGAGAGAGAGAGAGAGAGAGAGAGAGAGAGAGAGAGAGAGAGAGAGAGAGAGAGAGAGAGTACCTCTGATTTCATGGGAGGGTTGAGATCAGGGCAGAAGAGGTAATGGAAGAAATCGTCTAGAGAGAGAACTGGCTTCTTAAACTTGCCAAGGTGCCTGCGATGTCTGATCTGATCAATAATGTTCTCTGCGTCTTTGATGGAAACTTCTACTTCCCTCTGAACCTCAACAATGAACCTCCTCAAATGCTCAGCCCCCATGTATCCACTTTCCGAGTAATTCGCAAATGCCTTCTTCACATCTACAGGCGGCTCCGTATCACCACCCTTGAACTTCCTCGTGAAGCAAACGCACATCTTGTAGGTTCCCATTTCAAGATCCGGGCCAAATTCCAGCCAAAAAATCGCCAGAAAACGCAGAAGAGGAGAGTAGGAAGACACTGGTCGACGAAAGTTGAAGGAGAGTGGAAATTTCCAGCCAAAAGTCACCGGTAAATGGGGGAGGAGAGGAATTCCGCCAGTGTAGGAACGGAGGAGAAGCGGAGATAGTGGTGAGGGACACTAGGGTATGGGCTAATGAATACGAATCGGGTGGTTAGGTTTAAAGAGAGAGAAAGGGGGTCTTCAAAGCTTTTAGAGAGAGAAAGCGGATATTCACCTATTCTTTCTCTCTCCTCTCGATCATTGTTTTTCTCTCCTGCGTGTCCTTCTATCACTGCGAGGAGCTACGTTATGGTGGTGGTGTTAAGCTTTATGTCGTTTTCGTGTTAGGTTGATTAGCTTTGTGCTGGATAAGATGTCCTCCACCTTTTTCTACTTAATATTCTACTCCCTAGGGAGTGCACTGTCCATTTACTCCCTTATAGAAAACTCCAAGCCGCATTAGTTTTAGGACCGAAATTTTGGAAATATAACTTCTTTAATAAATAGATTAACATCAAGACCCTCTAAGAACTTAAAAAAATAATATGTTAACATTGAATAGAAACTATCCAATTAGAAGGTAAGATCTTAGTGTTATAAAACTTAATTATTTTTTTTAAATTAATCATCTAGTCATTCTAAAGTGATTGTCAAAATTTCAGATTGAAAAAAAAAAAAAATCTCCCGTACGGTTCATCGACCAGCGAATATAAGTAAACTATGCGCCTGAGAGAACACAGTTTACGCTCATAAACATATACGGACTAACTTGCAAACGTGAGTCTCGTTGCATTTACGTTTTTACGTGACTTGGATCGTCCCCAATTAATACCGGTGAAATTCTAAAAATAGTTTTCCTGGAAGGTGCGGTTTGTATAGAGCCTAGGCTCTAAACAGTCAAATTAAAACGCATCGGCACGTGGTTTTAATGTTAAAAATATTTGTGATAGTTTAAAATATATTTTAATTTTTAATTATAAAATTTAATAAATCTTAAAAATTTTAAAAATCTTAAAAATTGACTATCAAATAATGTGCGACATGATAGATTATTTTTTAAACTTAAAATTCATTTTTTTCTCATGTAAATACATGTTGATGTCGAAAGGATCAATTTGATAATATTTGAATATCAAAACAACCTCTTCTAATAAATGTTTTTAGGGGATTAGTACCTCAGCTTCATATAAACTTTTTCTTTTTCATATAAACTTTTTCTTTTTCATTATTAATTGTCTTGTCAATTGTTAAAAGTGATAGATCACCACTCATTGTCTCTCCTAGAAAAATATTTCCAATTATTTCGTGAACGTGGCAGACCCTCCATCTCTCTTTTGCTAAAATAGTTGTACTACTAACTGGTTTTAAGGTTTGATTATTTAAAGGAAAAAGTTTACATAAGCGTTACGTTATAAACAATTAAAGTAGGGCACCTTAAAATTTTCACTGCACGAGGTTGTTTTGATGTTCAAATATATCCTCAAATTATTCGACATAAAAAAAAAATAGATTTCAAGATTTGAAAATAATGCATCTTATAATGCATTTTTGGACAATCAATTTTAAAGATTTTCATGTTTTCATACATCTGTTCAATCTACATTATTTTTTTAAGCTTTAAATTATATAATTAGAGATGAATATATTTGAAGGTTATCTCAAAGATTTCCAGTATTAAAACCACATTTCTTGATACTATTTGAAAGTGTGTTTTACTTTGATTGTTTAGAGCCTCAGCCTTATACAAACCGTACCCTTATTTAAAGAGTATGGTTGTATATGATATGATGCTTAAATATCCTCTAATCGAATATTTCGACCTCAAGATGTATGGATATGAGGAAAAAATGGATTTCAAGTTTTGAAAATAATGCATCTTATAATGTATTTTTTGGACCGTCAATTTTCAAGATTTTCAAGTTTTCATAGATCTACTCATTCTACACTATTTTTGAAGCTTTAAGTTTTATAATTATAGCTGAAAATATATTTTAAAGGCTATCACAAAAAATTCTAATATTGAAACTATATTTCTCGACATTATTTAAAAGTATCGTTTACTTTGATTGTTTAGAGCCTCGGCCTTACACAAACTGCATATTTATTTTAATGGTACGGTTTGTATAGCTCGAGGCCCTAAACAAAGGCTCATCCTAAAAAAGTGTCTAAAGATGTTGTTTCAGCGTGAAAAACTTTGTGATGGTTTGAAATTTTTTTTTATTTTTAATTATAAAATTTAAAATTTAAAAAATAATATAGATTGAACATATCTATGAAACCCTTAAAAATCTAAAAAATTGAGTCTGAAAAATATATTAGAAGACGTTTATTTCCGAGATCCAGCTTGCTTCATGCCTTTGGGTTGATATAATCAATTTGCTGATTTTTGAGCATCCAAATAACATCATCTCATGAATTGTTGAGGCGGGACTTTAATTTAATTGTTTAGGCCTCACCTTGACAAAAACTTTTTCAAATTAAAAGGATGGCTGTAGATATGTGGGCCTCCCACTAAATCATCTTAATAATATATTTTTAATCTAAAATTAGATATTCATGATTTATGTTAAAATGATCATGAACACGAAAAAAATAAAAAATAATATTTAAATTATAATTTCAAAAAAAAAAAACATTTATATACTTTAAAAACATTTCTATACAAGGTAAAATCGTCTCCAACAATTAATCATAATGTTGGATGTTGCGGATTCAGCGGGAAGACCGCTGAGTTATGTACGATTTCGTTTATTAAATGATTCTCTCTCTCCGACGTACGTTCAGACAAGCACACGTTTCTGGGATGCTTAAATTTTAATATTTTCCTCGAAAGGTTTAAGGGTTGTATTGTCCAGTTATCATAATTTTTTTATGCGGGGCTGGACCGCATGACCACATATGCGGTCAAAAAAAATTGTAAAGCATCATTTTTAAAGATGGACGCGTTCTATTTACAAATAATGGAAACTAAGGGTCCAAATATTTTATTATTAAAATTATTATTTTTAATTTTAAAATTTTATTTATTTATTTATATTCACTATCGCTATTTAAGATTATATGTCTTTAAAAATTAAGTCTCAAAATCCATCTCAAAAATAAATTTATTAAGAGGCCTTCATTACTACATAGGCGAGCTTGGCCGCATAGTAACCGGTTCCTATTTCTTTACTGAATTTCCTTTTACAATTTTCCACTATTTGCTATCCCATGTCCAAATAACAAAAGCACCCAAATTTCCTTATAAATTTTTCCACTATTTGCTATCAACAAAAGTATCTCTCAATTGTTTTTCACTTTCTTTTTTTTTTGGTTGCGTTACTTACATTTATATTTTATTGGAAAATTTATAGAAAAATTACAATTTTCTTTAAAATCTAAAAGTAAAAATAGTATGTGATAATTTATATTTATACTCAAGTTTCGCTTTCGGATAACATATAATGCATTTTATGTTTAGAAATCTATATGAAGAGACTATTTATTTGTAGTACAAGGTCATAAATAGTCTTGTTTGTTAGATTTGAAATCGGGTCATTGTAAGAGGGTAATTGCTTAGATCCAATTTTTTTTTAATAAAAAAATAGAACTACATGACAATCCCCAAGCCATCCAATTTGACATCTAATGACTACAAGTAATTGTGACCTTCTCGTAACAAAGATAAATGGTATCATAATATATGATCTCTTTATATTTTATTTGCTTGATATAATGAGCAAAGCTCAAAATTACGATGTCTATATTTCTCACCACTATATACATATAGATCGGCCTAAATTCAATCTGGTCCATTGGGTTCATTTTTTTTTGTGAGCCCATTGGCTCACAGAAACCTTTTCCACATATATATATATATATATATATATATATATA